TGCAGGCGCGCGGCCTGCGGAAGCTGTGGTGGGCAGCTGGCGGCTTACGCGTGGCGGCTGGCCTCCGGTGGTGCTCGAGGCACGGTCGCCGCCATCCGTTGCTGTCCAGCGGACCTCTCGGAGAGAGAGAGAGGGCTGCTGGCAGCGACGGATTGCGGCAACCGTGCAGGCGCGCGGCCTGCGGTGGCTGGCGGGCAGCTGGCGGCGCACGCGTGGCGGCTGCCCGCGGTGGTGCTCGAGGCACGGTCGCCGCCATTCGTTGCTGTCCAGCGGGCCTCTCGGAGAGAGAGGGCTGCTGGCAGCGACGGATTGCGGCAACCGTGCAGGCGCGCGGCCTGCGGTGGCTGTGGCGGGCAGCTGGAGGCTTACGCGTGGCGGCTGCCCGCGGTGGTGCTCGAGGCACGGTCGCCGCCATCCGTTGCTGTCTGGCGGGCTTCCTAAGGAGAGAGAGGGCTGCTGGCAGCGACGGATTGCGGCAACCGTGCAGGCGCGCGGCCTGCGGTGGCTGGCGGGCAGCTGGCGGCGCACGCGTGGCGGCTGCCTCTGGTGGTGCTCGAGGCACGGTCGCCGCCATCCGTTGCTGTCCAGCGGGCCTCTCGGAGAGAGAGAGCGCTGCTGGCAGCGACGGATTGCGGCAACCGTGCAGGCGCGCGGCCTGCGGTGGCTGGCGGGCAGCTGGCGGCGCAAGCGTGGTGGCGCACGCGTGGCGGCTGCCCGCGGTGGTGCTCGAGGCACGGTCGCCCGCCATTCCGTTGCTTGTCCGAGGCGGGCCTCTCCCGGGAGAGAAGAGGGCTGCTGCAGCGCGGATGCGGCAACCGTGGGCGGCGCGCGGCCTGCGGTGGCTGGCGGGCAGCTGGCGGCGCCACGTGGGCGGCTGCCCGCGGTGGTGCTCGAGGCGACCGGTCGCCGCCATCCGTTTTGCTATCCATCCAGCGGGCCCGCTCTCGTAAGAGAGGGGCCTGCTGGCAGCGACGGATTTGCGGCAGCCGTGAGGCGCGCGGCCTGCGGTGGCTGGCGGGCAGCTGGCGGCGCACGCTGGCGGCTGCCCGCGGTGGTGCTCGAGGCACGGTCGCCGCCATCCGTTGCTGTCCAGCGGGCCCCTCCGGAGAGAGAGGGCTGCTGGCAGCGACGGATTGCGGCAACCGTGCAGGCGCGCGGCCTGCGGCGTCTGGCGGGCAGCTGGCGGCGCACGCGTGGCGGCTGCCCATTGTTGTCCAGCGTGCCTCTCGGAGAGAGAGAGGGCTGCTGGCAGCGACGGATTGCGGCAACCGTGCAGGCGAGTTGCCTGCGGTGGCTGGCGGGCAGCTGGCGGGGCACGCGTGGCGGCTCCGCGGTGGTGCTCGAGGCTCGGTCGCCGCCGTCCGTGGCTCTGGCGGGCAGCTGGCGGCTTACGCGCGGCGGCTGCCCCCGGTGGTGCTCGAGGTACCCGTGCAGGCGCGCGGCCTGCGGTGGCTGGCGGGCAGCTGGCGGCGCACGCGTGGCGGCTGCCTCTGGTGGTGCTCGAGGCACGGTCGCCGCCATCCGTTGCTGTCCAGCGGGCCCCTCCGAGAGAGAGGGCTGCTGGCAGCGACGGATTGCGGCAACCGTGCAGGCGCGCGGCCTGCGGTGGCTGGCGGGCAGCTGGCGGCGCACGCGTGGCGGCTGCCCGCGGTGGTGCTCGAGGCACGGTCGCCGCCATTCGTTGCTGTCCAGCGGGCCTCTCGGAGAGAGAGGGCTGCTGGCAGCGACGGATTGCGGCAACCGTGCAGGCGCGCGGCCTGCGGTGGCTGTGGCGGGCAGCTGGAGGCTTACGCGTGGCGGCTGCCCGCGGTGGTGCTCGAGGCACGGTCGCCGCCATCCGTTGCTGTCTGGCGGGCTTCCTAAGGAGAGAGAGGGCTGCTGGCAGCGACGGATTGCGGCAACCGTGCAGGCGCGCGGCCTGCGGTGGCTGGCGGGCAGCTGGCAGCGCAAGCATGGTGGCGCACGTGTTGCGGCTGCCCCCGGTGGTGCTCGAGGCACGGTCGCCGCCATCCGTTGCCGTCCAGCGGGCCTCTCGGAGAGAGAGAGGGCTACTGGCAGCGACGGATTGCGGCAACCGTGCAGGCGCGCTGGCTGCGGGGTGGCTGGCGTGCACTGGCGCGCACGCGTGGTGCGGCTGCCCGCGGTGGGTGCTCGAGGCACGGTTCGCCGCCATCCGTTGCCGTCCAGCGGGGCCTCTCGGAGGAGAGAGGGCGCTGCAGCAGAACGGATTGCGGCAAACCGTGCAGGCGCGCGGCCTGCGGTGGCTGGCGGGCAGCTTGGCGGCGCAGCAGTGGTGACGCACTGCGTGCGGCTGCCCGGCTTCGGTGCCGACGATGCAACGGTCGCCGCCATCCGTTACTGTCCAGCGGCCTCTCGGAAGAGGAGGGCTGCTGGCAGCGACGGATTGCGGCAACCGTGCAGGCGCGACGGCCTGCGGTGGCTGGCGGGGCGCACGGACGTGGTGGCGCTCGCGTGGCGGCTGGCCGCTGCCCACGGTGGTGCTCGAGGCACGGTCGCCGCCATCCGTTGCTGTCCAGCGGGCCTCTCGGAGAGAGTGGGCTGCTGGCAGCGACGGATTGCGGCAACCGTGCAGGCGCGCGGCCTGCGGTGGCTGGCGGGCAGCTGGCGGCGCACGCGTGGCGGCTGCCCGCGGTGGTTCTCGAGGCACGGTCGCAGCCATCCGTTGCTGTCCAGCGGGCCTCTCGGAGAAAGGGCTGCTGGCAGCGACGGATTGCGGCAACCGTGCAGGCGCGCGGCCTGCGGCGGCTGGCGGGCAGCTGGCGGCGCACGCTTGGCGGCTGCCAGCAGTGGTGCTCGAGGCACGGTCGCCGCCATCCGTTGCCGTCCAGCGGGCCTCTCGGAGAGAGTGGGCTGCTGGCAGCGACGGATTGCGGCAACCGTGCAGGCGCGCGGCCTGCGGTGGCTGTGGCGGGCAGCTGGAGGCTTACGCGTGGTGGCTGCCCCCGGTGGTTCTCGAGGCACGGTCGCCGCCATCCGTTGCTGTCCAGCGGGCCTCTTGGAGAGAGAGGGCTGCTGGCAGCGACGGATTGCGGCAACCGTGCAGGCGCGCGGCCTGCGGTGGCTGGCGGGCAGCTGGCGGCGCACGCAGTGGCGGCTGCCCGCGGTGGTGCTGGCGGCACGGTCCGCCGCATCCCCCGCATCCGTTGCCGTCCACTCCCCGCGGGCCTCCGGCGAGAGAGGGCTCTGGCAGCGACGGATTGCGGCAACCCTGCAGGCGCGCGGCCTGCGGGTGGCTGGCGGCAGCTGGCGGCTTCCGCGTGGGGGCCGGCACGCGGTGGTGCTCGAGGCACGGTCGCCGCCATCCGTTGCCGTCCAGCGGGCCTCTCGGAGAGAGAGAGGGCTGCTGGCAGCGACGGATTGCGGCAACCGTGCAGGCGCGCGGCCTGCGGTGGCTGGCGGGCAGCTGGCGGCGCACGAGTGGTGGCTGCCCGCGGTGGTGCTCGAGGCACGGTCGCTGCCATCCGTTGCCGTCCAGCGGGCCTCTCGGAGAGGGAGGGCTGCTGGCAGCGACGGATTGCGGCAACCGTGCAGGCGCGCGGCCTGCGGTGGCTGGCGGGCAGCTGGCGGCGCACGCGTGGCGGCTACCCGCGGTGGTGCTCGAGGCACGGTCGCCGCTATCCGTTCTGTCCAGCGGCCTCTCCGGCGGAGGGGCTGCTGGCAGCGGGACGGATTGGCGGCAACCGTGCAGGCGCGTTGGCCTGCGGTGGCTGCGGGCAGCTGGCGGGCGCACACGTGGCGGCTGCCCGCGGTGGTGCTCGAGCTCGGTCGGCCGCCATCCTTGCTGCCCAGCGGGCCTCTTCGATAGAGAGAGGGCTTGCTGGCAGCGACGGATTGCGGCAACCATGCAGGCGGCGGCTTGCGGTGGCCTGGCGGGCAGCTGGCGGCTTACGCGTGGCGGCTGCCCGCGGTGGTGCTCGAGGCACGGTCGCAGCCATCCGTTGCTGTCCAGCGGGCCTCTCTGAGAGAGGGCTGCTGGCAGCGACGGATTGCGGCAACCGTGCAGGCGCGCGGCCTGCGGTGGCTGTGGCGGGCAGCTGGCGGCGCACGCGTGGCGGCTGCCCGCGGTGGTGCTCGAGGCACGGTCGCCGCCATCCGTTGCTGTCCAGCGGGCCTGTCGGAGAGAGAGGGCTGCTGGCAGCGACGGATTGCGGCAACCGTGCAGGCGCGTTGCCTGCGGTGGCTGGCGGGCAGCTGGCGGCGCACGCGTGGCGACTGCCCCCGGTGGTGCTCGAGGCACGGTCGCCGCCATCCGTTGCTGTCCAGCGGGCCTCTCGGAGAGAGAGGGCTGCTGGC